TGAGTAGCATTCCATTTTATATAGATACCACATTTTCTTTATCCAGTCATCTGTTGATCAGTATATAGGCTGCTTCCAGGATTTAACTATTAAAAATTGTGCTGCTACAAACATTGCTATGCATATATCACTGTGGTATGATGATTTAAGCTCTTTGGGGCTAGCTGGGTCATACGGAATTTCTAATTCAGTTCTTTGAGAAATCTCCATACTGATTTCCACAATGCTTGTACTAGTTTACATTCCCCTCAACAGTGCTGGAGGGTTCCTTTTTCACCATAGCCTCACCAGCATTTGTTAATGTTTAATTTCTTAATGATTGGCATTCTTTCTGGAGTAAGATAGAATCTTAGAGGTGTTTGAATTTGCATCTCTTTAATGGTCAGAGATGTTGAACAGCAAAAGAACCCATCAGTAGAGTGAAGAGACAACCTACAGAATAGGAAAATTTTTTTGCCAGCTTCTCCTCAGACCAAGGACTAATATCTGGAATATACAGAGGACTCCAGAAAATTAAACCACCTTAAAGTTCTGGTGGTTATCATGTGCTACGGTAAAATTGAAGCAGCTGAGGCAAATGGTATTTATTCTTGAAATGTATACCTCTGCTTTACTATTATTTTGGTGATTTAAACCAGTTTAATCAGAAGTAGATTCAGACTTCTATTTTGTTGTTAAATTTACTGTCCATTATGGACTGTTTGTGTCTCCATAAATTCAAATGTTGAAGTCTCTCCCTCCTGCCCATAAGGTTATTTGTTTGTTTGTTTTTTGGTAAGTGCAGAACCCAAGGCTTTTGGATTGAGCTACATCTCCTGCCCTTTTTATTTTTTATTTATTAAGTAACTATGTTGCCCCGGCTGGGTTCCAACTTGGAATTTTCCTGCCCTATCTTTCCAGATTGCTGGAATTACAGGGTTTGCCACCACACCTAATTCAAGATAGAGCTTTTATAGTAGTCGTAAGGTTAAAAGAGGTCGTAAAAGTAGAGCCCTGATCTCTTAGACTGTCGTAAGAGGAGACATAGAGAGTTGCTCTCTGTCTTTCAGCCTTTTGAGAATACAGTGAGAAGATGACATATGAGCTAAGGAGAGTCCTCACCTGGTTCTGTTCTAACAGTCCCTTGATCTGAGTTTTCTAACCTTCACAACTATTGGAAATAAATTTGTGTTGTTGAAGCTGACCACTCTGTGGCATTTTGTTATGACAACCCGAAGTGACTCATACACCTTCTATGCACCATGGATTCGAAATTCCTCTGGTTTTACTTCATGGTTAGGGTGGAGCTGACATGCCAGAGCATTTTTCTCAATACTACTACTTCTTTGTTTTTGTTTTTGTTTTTTTTTGGTACCGAGAATCAAACTCAGGACCTTGCGCTTGCCAGGCAGGTGCTTATACCACTGAGCTATATCCCCAGCTCAATACTTCTGTTCAATTGTCTGCTTTATGTGTTTCTGTACACCCATTTTCTCCTTGTTTGTACCCCTGCCCCCAGTGTATGTAGATTACTGTTGGTTTTTACCTAGTGATTGCCAGCCTCATGCTAGGTGCTAGTGGTAGGGTTTTTTCCTGTTGTTCTGGTCCAGCTTCACTGTAAGGTAGGCTGTGTGATCCTGTGTCTGGGGAAAGGGGCTAATTCAGGATCCTGCCCTTCCTGTGGGAGTCAGTTTTTGTTTTGTGTCTTTTATCAGGTCTTTTGTGTGAGGTTTGAAGTCAAGACCTTGTATAATTTCTTACTTCGCTTCAGCCAATAACCTCCAGCTCCCTAGACTTAGAGGATATTTTTTTTTCCACTGGTGCCCAGTTACAGTAGATGTTAATCTGTACCTCAGAGACCACATCGTTTGCTGTCATTACCCTAGTAGTTTAAGACCTTTGCTCCACAGGGGAAAAAGTTCCTTTTTTTCTTAGAGAAGTGGTATTTTCCTTCCTCATAGTCTGTACCTTTGAAGGTAACTCTTTCTGGGTTTCTGTCTTGTCCGGGTGCTTTTCTTCAAAGCATAGAAGAGAAGCCCCTGGAGAAGATGGTGCAAGTGTGTACAGCCTGGGAATTCTTACCCTCAGCCTATCCTACACTTGATTTCCATTCATGTCTGTAAACTTTCAGCTCAATTGTTAACCTCCTCGTAAGGTGCTCCCATCTCCATGCTTTTCCACAGGCGAGCTAGTGTTCCCATTTGCTTTTGCTAGTAGTGTGTCTTTCCTTAGAGTTTTGGTTGTTAAATTAAATTTAGTTAATGATTTCAAGAAAAGTTACAATTTTGTGGATTACCTGGGTTTTTTTTTTTATGTTTTAGGTGGGTGCAGTGCTCTTTGCAACTTTCTGTATCCTAGGTCCAAGATGGAAGCCTGAAATTTTTTTTCTGATCCACTCTCTTTCTACCTTTTGATACTGTAGCTACATGTTTTAAAGTGCTTAATATTACCCACAGATTTCTAATGCTGTGTTCCTTTTTTCTTTTTAGGAACTGTTTCTCTTTGTTTTAATTTACATATTTGCTATTGTATCGTAATTTTTCTTGCTGCTTCTTAATGTTTGTTGCCCTTCTTTGATTGCTTATTTGTTGTCTTTATTCTAAAGTTAGAGTTTCACATATTCTTTTCAGTTCTACAATCTCCCTTTTTAGTGTCTATTTCTCTCCTAAAATGCCTCATTCTTTCAGCATTTGTCTCTTTGTAATTTCCTTAGCATATTCAGGATTTTTGTTTCAATATCTTTGTTTCTTAATTATAATCATTTGGTCATTTGTGTCTTACCTATTACATTTTCTCTTGATTATGCATCACATTTTCTTGATATTTTTAATATGTCTTATAACTTTTCTATTTAAGGCATTTAAAGAACATTGGTAAGAAAAGACTACTATTTTTTGTTTTCTTTCTTCATAGAGTACATGCCTGTTTTAGTTACTTCCTTTTTTCTAGGACAAAATACTCCATACCTACAAGTTAAAAGGAGGAAAGGCCGGGGATATAGCTCAGTGGCAAAGTGCCTGCCTGGCAAGCACAAGGTCCTGAATTTGATTTCTAGTTCCAAAAAGATAAATAAGTAAATAAAGGAGGAAAAGTTTATTTTAGCTCACAGTTTGTAGAGGTTTCAGTCCATAACTTTCTGGCTGCAAGGCAGAGGGGTGTGGCAGAGGAGCAACAGTTCATAGCTTGGCAGGCAGAAGGCAGCAAGATTTAATTCTTGCCCTTTTTATACCATCTAGACTGCAAGCCTATTGGTTGGCACCACCCACACCCCCAGTGGGTCTTCCCTATTCTGTCATCCCATCACCTGTAACTATGCTAAACCAATCAGTGGGCTAAGCCAGTATCACATACCCGTGCTCCAGTTACTCGCAAAAGCCCCACCTATGAGCGCATAAGGCTTTGGAGAGACATCTAGACATAAGCCCTAACAATATACTTCCGCTGTTACGTGAGGTACTGATAGGTACATCCTGCTGGGGTTTAGCTGAACTGGTGCTGCCCTGCAGTTAACCTTCCAAGACGCCTCCTTTTTAATCTTGACAGTTTTTGAGCTTAGTGAGATGGTGGTGAGGATTTGTCTTCAGTTTCAGATACTGTCGGTTTACTTTGGATCTTGGATTTAGAGATTACCACTTTCCTCTTTCTCACAAAACTTGAAGGGTTGTGTTGTAGGGTGAGTAGTGTGGGAGATTTGTTGAGCCTAGCAACGTGTTTTTGTGTTGGGGCTATTATAATCCCTAATTCATCATTCTACCCCACACTGTTGTGTATAGCATGAGGAACTTCTATTTTCCTGACAAAATCTGCTCGTCTAAGGGGAAACTCATCTGTATCTAGAACAGGTATTTGTCTCAAAGTGAGGACAGCTGTGTTACCCCTGTTTTCACAGTGGACTTGTGTTCATCCAGGCTTCTTTGCATCTGCCACTCATTATTAGTCCCATAGGGAAAGTCACAACCACAGGAATAAAGGCCTTGTTCTAAGTCCCAGCCTTCAGAAATGAAATTTCTCTTTAGTAGTTTTTAGTTGCATTATAATATCCTTGACATCCCCAAATGTTTGTTTACCAACTAATCTTATCTGTAGGTAGTAATGTTTACCTTCCTTCTATTCTCTGTCTAGGTCTTAAACTTGATGTTCTTCCTTAAGTTGAGATCTTTTGCTTTGCTTTTGTTGATTAAATTCTACATTGTTGCCATAATTAAAAATCCCTAACGTGCGCAAAGAAATAGAAACTCAAGTGGACAATTTTACCAAAATTCTAAATAGATTTATTTGAACTATACTCTGTTTTAGCTAACATGATTTTGTGGAATCCAGTTACGTGATAATATTTAGATTTGGAAATGGGTGTTTAGGGTCACAGGGATAGAGCTAGTTAGTATACACATGGTGTTGTTTAAAAAAGGCTTCCCCTTTGTGTGGAGAGGTTATAAAAATGTATCTCTTTCTGTTTCATGTTTGGTGCCTGATTGCAGCCCTCTTTTCCCGGTGACTGGATAAATCATGTACTCTTTGTACAGCTGCACACAGTGCATCTGAATCAGGAAATTTTTTTTACTTGTTTTCTTATAATAGATAAGAGAGACTTAAAATATATTACCAAGTAGGAAATTCTGTATAGCTACTGTTAACATACATTTGTTTTCTGTTTATGAAAGTGGAATCAATTTGTGCTGTAGCTTTTAACTTGTTTCTTTTTAAACCAGAACTTAGAAAGTCTGTTACCGAGGAATTTGTGTACAAATTTACGCATGTTGTGTTTATTAGAAAGTCTGAGGGGGCTATCAGGGAGTAATGATTGGAGACAATAAAGCTATGTGATTTAGAGTTTGTGTTCTGGTGCTTTGCATATAGTAAGTACTAAAACATGTTGGTTGAATGTTAGCATTTCTGAAATAAATAGAAGTAAGCCCTTAAATTTGTGGAACTGGTTTACCTGGTCCTTCAGGAACAAATCTATCATGTGAAATAAGGTTTGTTATAGTTAAAGCATTAAATGTCTGATTTCTGTCCCATAGGAATACTGCAACATCCAGATGGCACAGTGTTGAAACAGTTACAGCCACCTCCAAGGGGCCCAAGAGAGCTGGAATTTTATAATATGGTAAGTAAGGTAAGATTTGTTTTGCTGTATTCTAAGTGTTTTTCAGCGTTTTCTGGTGGTGACTCACAGTAAGAAATATATTTGACAGCATGTCCTTGTTCACTGCGTATAACGGAAACAAAAATTTCATGACAATGTTTATCTTTCACTGTATGTAATGCAGTCTAGTATCTTCTGTTCTACTCATTTCTTAAAGATTCTTATTCTGAGTCACTTGAGTTGATTTCAATCAATGGGTTGTGAACCAGCAGTTTGAAAAACACTTAGCAGAGAGTGTTTGTAGTTCTCAGAAATGGTAAGTTAAATAAGTTTTTACTGCAGAATTCCTTACAGTCTTAAATTGCTAACTCGCATGGTTAGTCTCCAAAGGGGAGAAGAGGGCATAATTAACATCTAATTAACCTCGTAACTGGGATTGTTTTTATTTTAGTGTATTCACAATGTTCTATGACTACCACCTCTGTCAAATCATTTTCCTTACTCAAAAGAAAAATGCTTGGGTTAGAGATGTTCAGTGGTAAAGCACTTGGGTAGCATGCTAGTGTCTCTGGCTTCTGTCCCCAGCATTGTAACACAAGGTTGAGGGTTGGGTTACAAAAACAAATTTATAGCCAGTGTAGTGGCACCAACATTCCAATGTAGTCCCAGCTCCTTGAGAAGCTGAAGCAGGAGGAATGCAAGTTTGAGGTCAGCCTTGGCAACTTAACAAGACCCTTTTTCAAAATCAAATTTGAGAAAAGGGCTGTGGATGTAGCTCAGAGATAGAGTGCTTGTCCAGCATGTATGCACGAGGCCCTGGGTTCACTCCCAAGTATGGGCGGTGCTGGGAGAAGAGAACCTACACTTTATTAAGCCACTGTGCTTCATTACTCCTTTCCTCCAGTGCTGGCTGCCACTGATCAGCGTTCTGCAGACTTGCCTATTCATGGTAATGTTACCGGGTTCTGGGGTTTTGGGGTTTCCTTACAGAGGTGGTTTCTAGGTTCTTAAGAGTTGGTCCAAACAAGTGCGAAAGGCAGCAAGATTCTGCTGTTAAAGATAGGAAAAGAAGCAGACTTTGCAGAGTAATTTGGGCCTAGTAAAAGTATGAAAAATTACATGCAGCAGCCTGAGAGTGGACTCCTAGGTAAGCAAAACACCACAGTCCAGAGATTAGTGATGGATGGCTCCCACTGCTCAGACTGACATCAGCTGTAGGATCCCATCAAAAATCTATTCAGGTTCTTGGAGGAATTGAAGGGGCCCCTTTCTAATTGGGTCCCTGTGCAGGACTTTGGGAACTGTTCTGTGCCATGTGTCCTGAAATTTTGTAATTAACAGATCATGCCCACTTTCCCAAACAGTTTGCCATGCTCTGGTCACCCTCCGTTGAAAGCCCTTGTGGACCTCACTGGTCCAGAGGAGTCCGCATTTATAATCCCAGGGAAAAGTTACTGGAATTCCAATAGGTAATTCCAGAGTACCATTTCCAGTGCAATCCATGGTGAGAGTAAAGAAACGAATACGTGTCTGTAGATGTGGGGAGCCCAGGGGTCCTAAATCCAGTAAGAACGATGGCTAACCACAACTAAAGCCTCTACCCCAGGGCTCAACCTGGGTTTGATTAATTTATGGAGAGGGAAGTGGCTTGTGGAAATGCCACTGTGGGAATGGGGAGAAGTACAATGCTGTTGAGCTGGGCTAGGGGCTAGGTAGCAGGGGAAACAGCAGCTCTGCAATATGCAAAGAGAGGTATACAGAAAGAATAGTCTGCATAACACAGCTTGAAGCATCTTGTGTTCTGGGGTCAGTGCTTCACCTTTGGTCTGTAATCCTCATGCCCTGAGACACCGTGGCTCAACCCCAGCCCGGCTCTTAGTCCATGTAGCACAGCATACTAGTTGGAGGCTATTGGTGGTGCATCATTGACTTGTCACATTGCTTTATTCCCCTGCCACCACCATTGCTTTGCAGACTACACCCTTTTGCATTGCTTAAAGCCTAATGAGGGGATAAAGAAATATCCTAGCTGGCTCTGTACATATCAGTACATGGAATCAAGGCCTGCTTTAGCCAAAATGCAGACACATGCTCTTCTTTTAAAGAGAGCCAACCTGGTGGTCTTCCATAACCCACCTCAGTCATTTTATGTAAATGGAGTCATATAAACTGTGCCTTTTGTGTTTAGGTTCACCTATATCATAGCATGAGTAGGTGCTTATTCTTATTAGCTGTATAGGGTATTCCATTGTGTTTATATACCACATTTGGCTCACTCATTCACTTGTTAGACATTTGGGTTGGTTCACCTTTTGGCTTTTGTTAATTGTGCTGCCACGTACGTGCAGGTATAAATATTTGAGCACCTCTTTCTATTTCAATTAAATGTCAGGTCATTTACTAATTCTACATTTAATTTTTTGAAGAACTATCAAAAAATTATCAAACTGTTTCCTAAACTGGCTGCATTATTTTACATGTCCAGCAGCAATGTATGAGTGTTCTAGTTGCTCTACATGCTTACCATCACTTATTTTCTGTTTGTTTTAAATGGCATTCTAGTGATTATGAAATCTCATTGTAACTTGTTTTGAGTTGTAGTTCCTTAATTGCTAATGTTGTTAAGTATATTTTCATGTACATACTGACCATTTACATATCTTTTCAAGAGGAATGCCTATCAGGATCTTCTGCCCATTTTTTAATAGAGCTGTATTAAAAAATTTAGTTGCATACTTACCACTGTTATTTATATATTTTAAATACAAAGTCTTATCAGATTATGACTTACAAGTATTTTCTGCCATTTTGCAGGTTTGTCTTCTCACTTTCTTAATAGTGATCTTTGATGTACAAACTTGCATTTTGATGAAGTCCAACTTATTTTTTCTTCCATTGCTGTGTTTTTGGTGTCATATCTAAAGTAGTGTCTAATTCAAGGTCACTAAGGTTTATAATTATTTTTTCTTTCAAGCATTTTATAGCTTTTGCTGTTACTTTTAGATCTTTTATTTATTTTTGTCAAGGGGTGAGGAACATATCCAGTGTCATCCCTTTGCATATGGATGGCCAGTCCTCACAGCACTGTTTGTTGAAATGTCTGTACTTTCCCCCATTGAGTTGATTTAATGGCCTTGTCAAAAGTCAGCTGATGATAAATGAAAGAGAAATGTTTAAAGGAATTCTGTTCAGTTCCGCAAGTTAGGAAGGGTGAATTTGTAATTGGGAGGCGGTAAGTGGATTCCTGGTTCAGAGTGGCTTATAGGCTTTCTTTCAGCTTCATTGATCTAAATGTCTGTCCATACTCTATTGATTATTGTAACTATGTCATAAATCTTGAAATTGGGGAATATGAATCCTCCAGCTTTGTTCTTTTTGAAAATTGTCTTAGCATATGTGCTGCCGAAGTGAGCACTGAAAATTGTCTTTGGGTTCTTCGTATTTCAATTTGCATTTTAGGGCCAGCTTGTCAGTTTAGGCCAAAAGCCAGTTGGAATTTATTTTTATGGACTTTAGTAGATTAATGTGAGAAGTTTTGGCATCATGTTTTTATCCTTTAGTATTTTAATATTATGTATTGATTGATTGTATGAGGTGAACCTGCTTTTTATTGGGAACCTCCTTAATTTATTGGGAATAAATTATACTTGGTCAAGGTGTAACCATTTTTCTGTGTCACTGGATTTGTTTTGTTAATATTTTGTTAAGGCATTTTGCATCTTTATTCATAAGGGATATTGGTTTGTACTTTTCTGGAGGTGTGATATGTGATCCGGTAAGTGTATATCTAATTTCTAAACTGAGCTTGAAATAGCAGAAATACTAGAGTAACACTAAAACTGTGTAAATGTCGGTACACTATAAACCACTCTGCCACTTACTGGTGTATTGCCCTTCAGTTCCAAATTCTCCCCTTGTTACCTACCCTTTGACAATGAGTTCAATTCCTGTAAACATTTCTCATTTATTGTGAGGACACTGGTAAACATTCTTGGTAGACAGCACTGAAGAGACACTGTAGGAGGAAGGGCTGTTCTACTGTCTCCTTGATCAGTAGTGCAGGTGACTGGTTCCCTGCCACAGTCATATTTCTGGAAATACAGATCCTCAGCAGCCTCCGAGCCCTGTCCCAGCCTGGTAATCATCTTCTTACAGCCTTTCCAACATGAAGGGCCTCCTCTGTAAACTGGCACCCTGACTCCTTCACATTCCTCTCCTCTTCATATTTGTCTCCTGCTGCCATTGTAGGATGTCTCCTTGTGTGGGTCCGCATGCTTAGCCATTGACTGTCCTACTTACATAGTTGCTTTACACATGGCCTTTTGTGGACCAGCTCTGTGTTGGATGACCAAGTGAATATCTCTGCCATCCATTGGGCTTCAGTTATGCCTTCTTTATGGAGGTCTGTTAGGAAACAGGCTCACTTTCCAGATTTGTCCTTCCTAAGGCACACTCTCACTGTAGGACCTGTAGGGAATTCATTCTTTTTATATCTTCTAGTTATTCTTTTATCAGTGCTTAATAATTCTTATATTCAGTGTTCATTGCTTAAACCATTGTGTGGTTTCTTACTCATTTTGGCCTTCAGACTGATGCATATTCTCTTAAGGGAAAAGTTAGCTCTTAGAAGATCATTCACAGTTATACAGTTTATGGGATGCCTCTTGTGCATTCTGGAAGACTTTATAAATTTTTTTCACAATACACTATATAATTTAAATTTGCCGTGCTGTATTAAAATGTATTTGAGTACAAAACTCAAATGTTTTTCAAAGCTTTGTGCTTAAACTGTATTTCTGCCATAAAGATGGTGATATCTGTTAATAAATGTTTGGGCATTGCATTGATCTAACATGGTATTTTCCAAGCTAATACTGGTGGTTCCTGAATATGTAATAAATGAAACTTAGTAGTGTCTTTATGTTCGTTTGTCCCAGTTTCTTTCCTTTTTTGGGAGTACTGGGAATCAAACTCAGGACCTCATGCTTGCCAGGCAGGTGCTGTGTCCCAGGTTCTGTGAAGTATCCTGT